AAAAGTAAAAATTAATCTAAGCATCCAACTTATTCACCATTCATGGAACAATTTATAATTCAATATACTCGACATTGCCAGTCAGGGCAACTAACTCACATAAGCACATAAAAGTTTTTTTTTTTTTTGAATTTCTTTAATAAAGCAATAAAAGCACACAAAAACACATAAAAATGAAAACTTGTATTGTCCACCCCCAAACTTAAACTAGATATTGTCTTCAATATCTTTAATTCTAAATCTGCATATAAAGGGGTGGAAAGAAAGTAAAGAAAAGACTCCCTGATATGACTTGTAATTCAATGGCTAGCTTTCCTATTACTCTCGTTGGCTCTTTGGTAAATATTGGTTTAAATGTTCCGCGACGTCATGTTACTGAAAAATCAGATAAAATATTAAGATCAAATAACTGGAACGGGTGTTACTTATCTCTAACATCTAATAAACCAACTAACTTATCGAAAATATAAGAGAAAACAGGATATGGATAATGAGTTACAAATAAACTTAAAATAAACTAGACTATTCTAAAACTCAAAAACAAAATAAATAAAAAGGAAAAAAAAAATCTTGGATTACTTCCCAAGAAGCGCTTCTTTAACGTTATTAGCTTGACTTTGTGTCATGTTTGATCATGGTGGCTCGAACCAAGTTTTGTCATCATTGCACTTTGTGCAATTTTCATTTATGCATCCTTTTTTTTGCTATCCATATTTTTATATTTCCATTTTCATCTCTACTAAGAAGTCCACCGAAATTTGATTTTTTATTCTGACAGCTTCGTTGATCATGTGGCTCTTCTTCATCAATTCTATAGCAATTATTGTTGTTGTAAGGTTTCTCAAGTGGGGTATAAATATTAAATATCTTTTACTTGTCCTCCACTCTCAATATCAGCTCACCCTTTTCTATGTCAATTAGAGTTCGACCCATTACGAAGAATGATCGACTCAATATAATTAGAATGTCTCGATCTTCTGGTATGTCCAACACAATGAAGTCCACCGGAAATATTAAATTTCCTGCTTTCATGAGCACATCCTCAACTTTGCCATGTGGTTTTGAAATTATTGTATCAGCTAGTAGTAGCTTTATTGATATTAATTTGATTTCACCCAATCTCAATTAAACAGAATATGACATTAGATTTATACTAGCACCCGCGTCACACAATGCATTAATAACACAAGAATTTCCAATTGAAATAGACAAAGTAAAACTCCTTGGATCTTTCAATTTGGGAAGTAATTTATTTTGCACTCTTGCACTACTTTCCTCCGTTAATGACATAATTTCAAACTCTGGAAGCTTTATTTTCTTTGTCAACGTCGCTTTCAAAAATTTTGTGTAGATTTAAATTTGTAATATTACATCAATTAATAGAATAGTAATCTGGAGTTTCTTGAGAACATCAAGAAAATTTTCTAATTTTGTATCTTGTTTGTTATTCTTGAGCCTTTGAGGAAAATGAATGGAAGACACGTAAGTCTTAACTGGACTTGGTGCCTTGGCAGTAGATGCTTCTGTACTTTCTTCATTCTCAATTGAGGCGGGTGCAGATTTTTCCTCCATTATAGTTTCATCAACATCTTCTTGGTCATCATTTCTTTTTGGTCGTTTAACAGTAATCTCTAGTAATTGTACCTCATTCCTTGTAGTTATAGCATGAATATTTTTCTCCATTGACTTTTTTCGAAGTCTTTGGGGTATGGAAGTGGAGGTGCATATGCTTTAACTTTTACGGGAGCCCTACGTAGATCGTTTTCTACTACTATTATTGCAATCACTTGCTTTTTATGATTTGTCATTTTATTTCTTGGTAATGATCACTGTGGACGTTCTGTAAGTTGTTGAGCTATCTGACCAATCCGTAGCTCCAACTTCTTGATAGATACTT